GAAAGAGAGTATTAGAGTGCACTCTAAAAATAGAGCGACAAAGAGGTGAGGGAGGGAGGGAAAAAGTGGGGGGGACAGGAGGGATTAATGATGGAAATCAAGAGGAATTTTACTAAATCTGCAGAATGAGAATTAAATAGGGCAAACTTGAATGTCACCTGCCCAAAAATCGCATTATGAAAGCTCCAGTGATTTTTATACAACATTGGTTCTTGTTCGCTCTAGAAACCCTGCGGCGCCTTCTGCAGCACGTAACAATATGCATCAGCCGCAGATGAAAAAACGATAGTGAGACGGGGAGATGGCTTTGACGTCAGAGCGCACACCCATCTCTGCAGCCAAATCCACACATAACAGGCTCTCTCTCCGGACTGCATGGGGAGGGGCTGCTGTTGTTGCTCGTAACGTACGTGCTCTGAATCTCTGTTGTTGCGGAGCAAAGCTTGTATAACATGCATATTACATAGCAGCAGTAGCAGGTAACTGGCTCTGAATCCAGTGAGGTCACCCCTCGCTCTGTCCCCCCCTGCCCATGTTGAGCCCCATCTAAGCTACTGGTCATGGTTCATTCTGTAATTGTCTCTTTGCACAGAAGCAAATTTCCCATTTAAAAGAACGATTCACTGCAGTTTGTCTCACTGTGTTTTTAGCCAGGGAAAACACAGCTCTGACGTAGTTCCCTGACACTTGTCACTGGGGAAGGAACGTTTCACCTCTGACCTCCTCTGAGGCAAGTGTGAGTAAAACGCTGTCTTTTAAGTGATCCAACACCACACATGTGGAGGTGCTCCAGCTATGAGCCTCCATTTTGCACAGTTTTGTGTCAAGAAACAAAAGTGAGAGACAAGAATTCAGACATTCTCATTCAGGTACTGAGACCTACTGGACTGCTTGTCATGGAGCACGTCCCCAGAGTAACAGCATACAGATTCAAAGCACATTTTGAAAGAAGGTTACACATTTTGTGACGAGTGAATCAAGTATTTGTTTCTAAATGAATAAGCTTGACCTTATTGTGATTAGTATATATGTACAGTATACATCTGCATAATACCCTGCTTAGTGTTTTAAGCCTCCCTTGCTCAAGTGGCAACATGTGACCTTTGTCCTTTTCAGTTCAATCTGATTTCCTGCAACATGTTCAACTCTTTACCTAACAGGTCAAAGGTTTTAGCTACTTGCAGTCAGCAGATTCACAAAGTAAAATCACAGAGTAAAATAAAATTGAGTAACATACACTAAATTAAGAAAACTGAAGTTACTAAGGTGCATGAATCTGTCATCTCATATTACTCAAAAAAAAACAAAAAAAAACAAAGCGGCCAAAGTAGCCCATGGTTTGCCCTGAATACCTTGTGTCCTCTCACCTAGATGCAGGTGTAACCTATATTCTGAGAGCTAGCTGAGACAGAGCAATGCAGGCGGCTCTGAACTCACACCATCTGGCTGCCAGTGAACTTCACCAGAACTCTGGCTGTCCTCACCTGACAGACATTTCCATGCATTGCATCACATCTTGGCTTTTCACTTGTTACAGTGATTTCAGAACAGTATCAAAACCCTGCAGGGAGTTGAACTTTATGCCAAAGACGAAACACTGTTACATCAGGGTTTAGCCCCACTTCTGCATTTTCTTCTCCACTTTCCTCCTGGAGGGAAAAAACTGAGCACGTTTAAAAATAGCTCATAGACATTGAGCAGCTGTGTTACATCATTGATGAAAGCATTTCTAAAATACAATTTCCACTGTGAAGACTTTCTAAATATCTATCTGTTTTAGAAGTATAGATTGAATGTCTATCTTGGTATGAATGAAGGGAGGAAAGCACAGGGTGTGAGCGGGAATCAATTACAGGCCTCTCTGTCCCAAGAGAGAGAGCTGCTATTTATTGCTTCTTCCTGCTGTGTGCTGGTTATGTCATACCCTCCAACTCCTTCAAAGCACAACTCTGTGCTTTACTTAGCACACCTTGTAAAAAAAAAAAAAAAGAATCAACCATTGACTCAGCCTTGAATAGAAATAGCCTTGAATAGAAATCCGTCACTGTGCCCCTTTAAACATGAACATTTATCATGTGATAGTGATGTAACCTTAAAACAGACGCAAATACTCTCCACATCTGGAGAAACAGCGGTGTAATATAAATATAAACATGAAGAAATCAAAAATGTATTTATTCAATTGACTGTAGGTTATTAAAACCATTATCCCACGTTTTCCCCCTGTAGTATCTCTGTAATGCTCCACAGATTTGTATAACATACACTACTAATAGTTAGCCTACTAGTGATGTTGGGATTGTTGTATCTTTTTAAGAGTCCTGTAACATCAGCTCCGACATGCGGTTTAAGCAGTTGAACTGAAAATGTGCCATAAGGAGTATCCTGAAAATAAAACACGCTTTAATCCACTCTAATGTTAAGCTCTGCTGGAGAGCCAAGGAGATAAATCCATATCTCAGCAACTAAAGAGACCTACATAATAACAATATGCACATATCAGCAGCATTCCACGTGCATCAACCAGACAACACAGCTGCCCCCATTCCCTGGAAGATACCACCATGAGGAAAATTACCTCGCCTTGACATTGAGCTTATAATGTGGGATACGGCCAAATACGGCTTCCCAGTCCTACTACATGTTTCATATCAAGGACAAGGCGAAAAAGACGAATAACGCCTGGCAACAAAGTAGCACATTGGCCTTCCCGAGTGCTTAATCTGACAAAAGCTGCCGCAAACGTCTCAAAGTCACGGACGGACACGCGGGATCTGCCGGGAGTCGCCATGTGAACAATAACCTTCCAAAGCATCGTGTCCTTATCGCAACACACGCCCGAAACACCTAAACGTCTGTATTTAACCACGCTAAATGGGGAATTTGGACTGCAGAAATACAGACAAACAAAGACAAAAACCGAAAAGCAGCCGCAGCCCAGTCAAAACATACCTTTCCGTGTCCCGGAGGAGGGGAAAAGAGATTCAGGCTTCCCCCGACACAAAAGCTGTCTCGCTCCCGTTTCCTCCTTTCCTTGTCCCTTTAGAAGAGACCCCTCAAAAATAAAAATCGGCTTTCTTCTCGTTTTCCCGTCGGTGCTTGGGTCAGTTGTGGTTGAGTCAGTGGGTCGGGTGGATGCTGTTTCCCTCTTTTGGCTCTGGCTGCTTGTGTGTTGTGCGCTGCCGGACACTTTGCTCCAGTTTCTCCGGCTCCCTCTATAGAAATATGTGTTAGTAGGTCAGCAGTTGCATAACAGCTCTTAGGCTGCCTAGTCACGTTTTTGTCCTCTATCTCTCCGCGACACAGTCTGTCTGTGTGTTGCTATAACCTCTCTCCACCCCTCCATCTACGTCTCCTTCTCCACCCTTCGTACACGATGTGGTGCCATTGCTTTCACGGGAGTGGGGAAGTTTGTAAGAAGGACACGGCCCCGTTTACAGTCCCCGTGTTCTGCTGAGAGGTCCGACAGCAGCATGTAAAGGCATGCACTTCACTTCAGCTGTGTTAGCACAGAGCCACGTTGTTCCCCCATTACTCACTGTTGTATACAGTATTTCTCCTGGTGATACTTTCTACTTAATACCGTAAGGATAAAATTAATTCTGATGATGAATGGGACCTTTGGTGGTCCCAGCTCCCAATTTAAGAATCCCTGGCCTGAAGGTGTGTGTGTGTGTGTGTGTGTGTGTATAAAGAGACGAAAAAGAAAGTTATGAATGTTTGTGCAGCTCTTTCCACTCTAAATTTCATTACACAACATAATACAATACATATTACAGGTATTACATCGTTATTGAAATGATTTTTTTAAAGCCATTGTAGCATGCATGCAGCAGTTCAGGACGATTATAGATACGATATTGACGTATAATATTGTAGCGTCCTGCAGGACACAAGGAAGACAACCGTGAGTGCCGACGAATAGTCGCTTTTTATTAACTCCACACAACCGGTTACCGTTGGCCGTAACCACGCCAAAACAACAGCCCAACAACAATAAAAAAGAAACAACCTGCTAACACCCTCTGTAGCTCAAATCCCCCCTCACACTTCTCTCCCTCCCGCTCTCACACCTCTTAACCCCTGAAGCTCCACACCTATCAAGGAACCATAACAATTTAGAACATCATAACATGCCAAGTGAAAGATCACTACACTGCCGGGAGGCTCCAGAGCACTGGTGCGGCCGGGCATTGCCTCGGTATGGGGCCAACCTGTCCCTGTGAAGAGCCACTCGCCGCCCCCTAGGCGGCAGCTGGACCCTGTACACCACCTCCCCCAGTTTCTCCAATACTTCACAAGGTCCCACCCAGTGACAGTCCAACTTAGGGCACCGCCCCATCTTCCTCTCCGGGTTATACACCCACACCAAGTCCCCAACCGTAAAGTCCTTCCCTCTGGCTCTCATGTCATAGTTCCTTTTTTGTCTTATACCTGCTTTCTGCAGCTGGTCACGGGCAAAAGCATGAGCTGACTCCATCCGGTCATGAGCCTTATTCCATCCGGTCCTGAAGCCTCCTGGCATATTCCGGACCGGGTGGGGCCCCCAGTGCATCTGGTGGTTTACCGAAAGCCATCTCAGCTGGTGACCGCAGCTCCCGTCCCAACATGAGTAGAGCGGGTGTACACAAGGTGGAGTACTGTACAGCCGACCTGTAGGCCAGTAAGACTAGAGGGAGGTGCATGTCCCAATCCCTCTGGTGTTCCGCAGTGAGGATGGCGTGTTGTTTTGCCAGCGTTCTGTTAAAACGCTCAACCAGCTCGTCATTCTGGGGGTGCAGAGGTGTAGTTCGCGTCTTCTTCATCCCCAGGCGCTCACACATTGCAGTGAACACGGCTGACTCAAACTTCCTGCCCTGATCGCTATGAACCACTTCAGCTGCTCCAAACCTGGAAAAAATTCCCTCCGCCAAGGCATCCGCGACTGTCTCTGCCTCCTGGTCTGGTATGGCGTATGCCTTCGGCCATTTTGTAAAATAGTCCATGG